CCCCCTAAGTAAAGGGGTCGCTGGGGTCCGGCAGCCCTTGCTGGGGCAGAGCAGAGGGCAGGCTGGGAGGAAAGCGAGCACCGGGGGCGCGCGTTCTCCTTCTGAGGCTAGTGTGCAGAGGGGCGGTCAGCGAGCCTGGGTGGCCCGGGCCCAGGCCAGCCTTCGCTTGGTTTGCTCAGCCCCTAACTAACCTGCTGAGGTTGCTGTGAAAAACCAACAGGTTTTCAAGGGATTCCCAGGGAATTTTTAAAGGGTGTTTTGTTTTACCTTGTATTATTCCACGACTGTTACCGGAAATTGTGTTAAAAGTAACATTTGTGTATTAAATTTTTATTTCCAGGAATAAAACACAGTAGAGATTTAAAAGTATTTTCTGCTGTTCTCAGAAAAAAAAAGCACAGAGAGTCAATTCTTCATAAGAAGTCAGCTGGACCATTTGGGGGGTATTCCAGAAACGTCCAGCAGGACAAGCACTATGGACTGAGCGGGGAGCCCTGGGGAGCTGGTGGCCAGTCCTAGGGTGGGGAGGGGGCAGGCGGTGGTTGGGTGTGCTTGGCAGGACAAGGAGCAGAACAGTGTGCAAAAGGGGCTGGGCTGAAAGTGGGGAGGGGCGGGGAAGGCCTTGGGCAGGGACCTCAGCACAGAGCAACCTGACATGGGCGAGCGTCGATGCTTGACACACGGAGTTCACGGCGGGCTCAGGCAGAGGACTTTCGGGTACCTGGCTCCCCGCCCCCCACGCCATGTCCCCAGCGCAGACACCTCCCGCTGCAGGATGGGGCAACCCGGGGCAGCCTCGAGAGGGCCCTCGGCTGGCTCTGCAGCTGGCTGAGGCAGGCGGGAAGGCTTAGCCCCGTCCTGGCCTGACCCCCGGAATGAGGGCCGCGGAGGCCCTGGGGCAGGACTGCAGAAGGCAGGTGGGTGACAGGCGCCTGTGCCTGTCACAGCAGCTCTGTCGAAGGCCGGCGGGCCGAGATGTGGCCGGAGCATTACCGGGGCAGGGCGGGCCAGCCAGTGCTGGCGCGGGGCCTCTAGCCGGGGGTTGGGGACCGTCACCGAGCAGGCACGCGGGCGCCTGCAGGGCCGGAGGCTTGCGCTTACTGCCGCTGGCAGGCCTGACCCTGCCCTTCCAGCCAGCCCGTGGCGGAAGGGACGCACGGGGAGGACCCCAGCGAGCGCTGTCTGCGTGAAGGCTTAAGGGGCACGAACCAGCGTGCTGCGCCAGCCTGCGCCGCCCTGTTCTCTGGCGACGCGGGGTCTGCTGGAACAGGGCCACGCCCGGAAGAGACTCTGGAGGACAGCGGGGGGCCTGTCCCTGCCTCGGCGGCCTGGGCCCACCTCGCCCCTAGCAGGCGAAGCTCACGCGGTAACTGAACCTTCTGCAGTGCGTGTTTATCGTGGAAGGCAGCGAAGTGCCCACTCGCTGGCTGCCGAGGGGCTGTGGCGCGAGGCCCAGGGCCCGGCACACAGCAGTCGCTGAGCTGTCACGGCCGGCCTCCCTGGGCGGGCCGGCGAGACCCCCTTCCACGGGCCTCGCAGCCGGTTCCTGCCCCCCTCGCGCCCGAACGCCTTCTGCGGACACAGGGCCTCGAGCGGGCCGGACACGCGGCGACCTCGCTCCCTGGGGCTGCTCCCGCTCATCGGCTACTCACACCCGACTGCTGCCCGCGCGGGTCGGGAGCACACGGGCGCCCCCGCACGGCGAGGCTGAACCGCAAGGAGGCGCCTCGGCCGCCCGCGGGGACCAGACCGGGTGGGGGGGTTGGGGCTCTGGCGGGTGCCTCTGCTCAGGGCAGCCTGTGGCCTGGGGCGGGCCCCCTGGATGAAGGGGGCGGGCGTTTGCAGCACAGGGTCTCTGGGAACCTCGTGACCCGAGTGTGCGCACGGCCCCGTCCTGGCGTGCTTTTCCGGGCGGGCTTCGGCAGGCGTCTCTTCCAGAAAGACGAGTAAACTGAACCCAGACCCCGGACAGCCGACTGCATCCTGACGCTACCATGGGGCGCAGCGCCGGAGACCCGGGTGCAGGGGGGTGGCGCGGGGTGGGTGCGGTGCGGTGCTGTTCGCTGGGGGAGGTGTGAACCTGCACCCCAAACTCAGGGCTGTAAGCCACTGTTACTTTAATAAGGCATTTTGAGGATGAAAAAGAGAATCTGAAGAGTGTGACACTTCCCACTATCAGGAACTGTTTCAGAAGCAACCTCCTGCCCTTCAAAGGCCGCTTTCCAGATGGCGGCTGCACCCTCAGTATCCCCGTGGGGATTCTGGTTCTGCTGGTCTCACCCAAGTCATTCACCCCTAACCTCCTGCCAAGCCAAGCCAGGCACAAGCCAGCACACCTGCATCCCCTGCCCTGCTGGCTGGCTAGAGACTCCCCTGGCCCCCAAAGGCTCGCCGCCGGCAGAGGGGAGGCCGTGTGATGCTCGGGGGCCCCTCGGGACACAGGCGACCGGCCACCCCGGCCCTGGCTGGCCCTCTGCGACTTGCCTCCTTCAGGCTTGCCTGACCCCAAGTGGCCATCTCCTGGAGCTACACTGGGGGGCAGCGGTTCCCGTGGAGCACGCAGGCGGCAGGAGCTGGGCTACACCCACAACTTCACCTTAGGAAGGAGCCGAGCTTCGCACGTGCCCTCCCGGGGGCCGCCGCACCCCCGGGGCACTGGCGCTGCTGGGTGCCAAGCCCCGGGCAGGCAGGGCGGGCAGGTCCGCGCGCTGGCAGGCC